GCACATCTTCACACACTGAGTAGCCGGCCTGCTGTTGCTGTTGCTGCATCATCCTCTTACACACTACAAACCCAGCTACCAACTCTTTTTTAAGGCTTGTTTGGATTTTGCATGGATGCTCCTTTCGGCTACAGCAGCGACTGACTGAAGTCTGCAGGCTCTATGGAGGATAAGGTAAAATGTGGAACTGGACAATGCCCTTCTTTTCTGTGAGAACCTATAATTAAACTTACATTTTAACAAAAGCCAGCCTCATGAAACACCAATAATGACACTGAAAAATGCAGCAGCAAATTATACACTGTAAAACCTGATGTGTTAGTTCAACACAAACTGTTGAACAGATTGCCTTAAACTGCTTAAGTTTATTAACTCAAACAATGTCAGCATAAAATATATTTGATTTTAATAGAAGTAACTCAAGTATTTATTGTTATTGTAACTTCTGCATAATACTGCACACATTTAAGTGCACTCAGAACAGTTCATTTTTGAGTTAGGTTTATGAGGGACATTTTTTGGAGGATTCGTTTATGTTAACTGACTTCTTTTATTAAGGTCTGTTGAGTGTATAGCTTCAGGTTTGAACATATTTTAATGTATGTAATTAGTATATTATTTTACTAGCCTTTAACTAGACATTGACCTAAAATGATTATTCAATTACCAACCCTTATTTTTCTGTACTGAGTTTACTTTTCCAAGCTCTTCATGCAGCTCTTAAAACTAAATGCGTTCATTCCCAACCTGAGGGTCCCAACCCCACTAGGGGTCGGCAAAGCTTCACAGATGGCTGCAAGGACTTCTAGATTTTAAGGGGTGTAAGACAACTTTTTAAAGAATTGTTCAGTAGGCCTACATCTCAGCATTTTGTTCATTTCTATGAAGAAAACTAAATTAATTGTGTTGTTTTTAAAGTTTTGATTAGTATATAAGATATAAACTTGAAGACCTGAACACAAACTATACTCACAGAGCCTTCAGTCTCTGATAAACAGCCTCATCCTGCATCTAAAAAGTAAAAAAAAAAAAACTGTAGAGCTAATAGAGCAGAGCTCTAATGCAACCAAAAGACTTCATCTCAGAATCAACTCTTTTTCTTCAGGCACACTAACAGATAGCATTATATGTATCACTATCTTTGAAGGATCTTTTTTCATTTTTCTGCCACAAAGAATCCATTATAACATTATAACCCTTCTTTATTGACTGGATTGTGCTGCCTTACATTGTTGCAGAAATTAATCAGAAATGTTGCAATAGGTTTTATTTTTTTATTTTTACATTTTTGCATAAAATCATTCCAAGTACACAAAATGAAACTGAAGCAAATCTAGTAATGCAATGATAGATATCTGGATAGATGGATAGATTGATAGATTGATAGATGTATGTGGCTCATATTAATCAATAAGCCTTAGAGGTGTTGCTAGGTGTATTTTTTCAGTTTGTTTTTTCAGATTACGTACTGTTTCCACCTGCTTCCAGTATTTATGCTAAGCTAGGCTAAAATGTAATTTCCACTAAGTCAGAGGCTTACATTTGACCCTCAGTAAAGATCAGATAATGCTGGCCCTGAAAGCACATTGTATCCATTGTATTGCAATTGTCCAATCTGAATGAAAAGAGCTGAGATGAGAGGCTTCTGATGCAGGCTCCAAACGCATTCACGCTTACAGTCTGTGATCCAAATGTGAATGAAAGGGTCATTGTTCTGATTGGTCCTTTAAATGCATTTATAAAGTTATGTAAATGTAAATGTAAAAGCAAGTATGGATGCAGAGTTTAGTAATGAAATCTCTCATTTGCACAGTTCATTGCTGCTGCAGTGTGATGTTCCAGATGTAGGTGTGTGAACTAGTACACAGACATGTACAGACATTAATCTATATTATAACACATCTACACAAGGTAGCTAGCAAGTGTTTCAGCATTATGTACACATGCTTTGGGTTCAAGACACTTAATAATCCGACAAAGATTAAAGGTTGATGGTTAGAACATAATCTGAGCTCAAATACTGCAGCACTGACATGAAATCCTTTGTCATCTGGGTCAGATGCTTAACATTAAAGGAGCAGGACAGTCAGCATGAGAATTCAGGTCAGTGGTTTTTAGCGAGGGAGCCAACAATGTGCTAAGTGTGCCAGACAATATTGAACATTTATAGTTTCATTTGCTAGGAATAAAAAAATAAAATCAATGCACCTATACAGTTGGCATTCACATTAGGCCTGGAAGAGGAGGGTGAAACAAGAGAGTTGCAATCTGCAAATACACCACTAGATATTGGCAATTGTAATTTATGTAAAGCAAATGGTAAATGGTAAATGGA